CACACACACACACACACACACACACACACACACACACGCAGAAATTGTACCAACAAAACGCTCACGAAACAAGTATTATACAAAAAACCAGCATTAATCATGTAAGTTAGATTTAATTCATTTTTACATAAATATATATTTTATTTTCTTATAAATAAAAGTTAGTTTTTGTTCTCCTTGTAAAGTCGCATTCGATTTATAAATCGTCCCTCATGAATATCCTGTACTCCCGTAACGCCTAAAATTGCACGAGGTCCAATCCCAGGTCAAAAGGATTAAGTTTCTTGACCTAAAAAGTAGGACCAACGCTCACACTGTCCATTGAAACAGGTATCATAGCGTCCCTTCAGGACGTTGACCCTCATTCTGGGACTTTAAAAGAGTGCGAACGACTCACAGCTGTACGCTTCCGTGCGTATACCTGTGAGATTGAGTCAACCGTCCTTTCGTACCCTCTCCATCTTCTTCTCTCGCCAATACTCAGGGTTGGACGTAACACACCATATGTTTGTTTCTTTAATCATTTTATATTGTTCTTCTTCTTTACAATTTTTTGGAGTTGACACAGCACCTGAAACAGAGAGCTAAGATCAAAGTGCTCTTCCAAGAGAATTGCTAACCTATATAGTTATATAGGTTAACTATTCTCTCAAAAAGAAATCTTTCTTGCTCGGTTTTCTTTATTTTTGTTCACTTTTTCACTTTATTTCACTTTTTTACGAGACTAGTCTCTTGAGGTTTCTTACACAACACTTCGCTAAATGGACGATGTACGATTGCACGTTATATTTCCCTCCAAATTTCTACTCTCAGCTCTTTAAATGGAACATTTAAACGGTCATTTCAATAGAGAGAGAGCATAAAGAAGGAGGAAATGAGACGGGGCAACTTGCTTATTTGACGCATGCGCACTCCATTTTGGCCAACATAAAATCGGGAGAGTTGCGCTACTGTATATACTGTGACTTTGGCATAATGAAAGTGTTTTTGTTTTTTCTCTACATGCTCTATGAGCGGAGATATTGCTATGCAAAATGATGCAAAATCTGAACCTGAAACCTTTGTTTTAAGAAACGTCGTCGTCGTCGTCGTCGTCGACATGGGTATGGGGTGGGGGAAATGTCCTTTTGCACTTTTTGACCCAAGAGGCAAATGTGGCGCTGGCAATATGCATGGTCACATCACACATGTGTCTGTTTTCTGTGGCTGATTATTAGGTTAGGAAAACTGTCACATCGATGGTATGGCATCCCTTATGGAAAAAACTCTGAAAATTTCAGTATTTATACTCAAATTTGAGTGTAAACCCTACATTTTGGGAGTTTACTCTGAAATTTGTGTGTTTACACTTAAAAATTTTGAATATTTACACTCAAACATTGAGTATATACATTCAAAGATTGAGTGTTCACAACGTTCATACTCAAGTTTGAGTACACTAAACATCTAAAGGTTACCCTCAACACTTGGGTATGACACGCAATAAATGAGCGTAAATCCTAAACTTTTGAGTGTCTTCAAAATTGAGTATATAAACTTAACAGTTATTTGAGATTTAATTTCCATGATTAAGATAAATGCCAAAATATTGAATGTAGATGTCCGCAAATATTTGAGTACTTAAAAATAATGGCGTTTACAATTTAATATTTGTTCTGAAATTTTAATTTTGTTTTGAATTTTTTATTTATTTTTATTTGTTTTGAAATTTTTATTTGTTTTGAAATTTTAATATTTATTTCTATTCCTATAATAATACTTCCTCCATTGTACGTAGGGTCTAAGGGTGAAAACACACGGTGCGGAAAAGAAAATATGTCACAAAAGCAACCAATCAGCTTTATTCTGCGTTATTCCGAATAGCGCTAATTGGTTGTTTCAATGGGCGCATTCAGCGGACTCAACAGTTGAGTGCGAGTGCCATGTTCGCTGTTATTAGTGTATTCTTTTAGCTCATCCAATCAGAATTTTAGATCTAGAAGAATATACCAATAACAGCGAGTGCTTACTCAACTGTTGAGTCCGCTGAATGACGCATTCTTTGTTCCGCAATCATTTTCTGCACAGTGTGATTTCACCCTGACGCTAAAGTTAACAATCAAATTGAGATTGATACTCAACATCCAAGTTATCAATAACACTCAAGTTGAGAGTTATACTCAGGTTGAGCGTCCAAAATAATCATTAATTGAGTATTATCTTGAGGGTATTTTTTCAGTGTTTTTAAAAGTGTAAACACTCAAATTTTAAGAGTTTTTTCCGTAAGGGATAGAGGACACGTAAGTGATTTTCTGTTTTTACATACACAAATTAGACTTGCTCGTCACGTTTTTGCACGAAATGAACGAATCTGGCAAAAAAAATGTATCTGGAGACACTGGTAGTGTCTCGGCGTTATTTACCCCATGGACCGAGATCTTTAAAGTTGATCACTATTCAGGTTAGGATTAAATATTTGTCTGCAAAGCAGAATTGTTTAATCCTTTATGCCATCGATG